TGTCTACATTAAATATTGTTAGGTTTGTTTATTGTTATTTATTAATCTAATATGGCTACATTTTATAATTTTCAGTATGAGTTCCATTGACGATGCAGGTTTTGAAAATGTGGCTCTAGATGATGATAAGACACCAAGAACCCCAAACAGTGATGATGATTTTGATGATGACTTGGGTGTTCCACACTCTCTTATGATTGTGTCTGTAGAAGGAACTCCAATTGTTGTTGAAAGAAAAGATGATAGAGATAACACCAACAAAGGTAATCATTGTTTTTATACTTTGTTATGTTTATTTATTTATATTTTAAGGTGTTATGGTAGGTAAAATAGCTTACAGTGCAATTTACAGACCCACATTAAAATTTAGTTCCTACAACAGAAAGATTTTTATACCTGAAGTTGAAATCAATGCCACAATAGTTGATTATGAAAGGAACCTCACTTCCCACTTTTTAAATCCCAATTTGTAAGTTATTATAATGTGTAACAACTTCAATATTAACACTTGAATTTTTTAGATACACAATAAGTTTTAAACATGGAGATTTTGTTTGGAAAATTAAAAAGAGATACAATCAAATACAGCATCTTCACCAACAGCTTGTCCTGTTCAGGACCTCTTTAAACATCCCTTTCCCTACCAAGACACACAGGGAAAAACGAGAGAGTTTTCGCAATAAAAAGCCTAAGGGGACCTTACCAAGGTACAATAAGAATTATACAGTTATATCAGAAAATAATTGCTAAAAATTCTAATGATATTTGTGTATGCAGATTTCCAAAGAAGCCTGAAGTATTAGTTTCCTATGAAAGAATTGACCAAAGAATCAAGCAACTAGAAGAGTATTTAAATAATTTATTGTCCATTAGCATTTACAGAACTCATCCAGAGACAGTGAGAAAAAATAGCACTGAACAGCAAGCAATGCCATCTAATGACTAAAATTACTTTTTTAGATAGCATTTCTTGAAGTCTCCCACTTGTCATTCATTGATGGCTTAGGCATAAAGGGCAAAGAGGGATTTGTAAAAAAAGGATCTGGTAGCACGAGGGGCTGTTGTAACTGTATGGGTTGCATTAACAGCACATTCTGTATAAGGTATGCAATTATTCAAATGTTTATACCTATTTCTAGTTTACGCAATCCTTTTTTTTTAAGATGTTCTCATAGATGCAACGACTTTTGGTGTACCAGATGGCTAAACAGGTGGTTCTTTGTGAAAGACACTTGTTTCGGTTATATAGACCCAAAAGATGGTCGAATAAAATGCGTTGTTCTATTCGACCAAGGGTTTGAAGTGTCCTTTGGTATGTATGCCACAGGTTTACATACCGGTTTACAACTTGTCACTTTGTCTAGGCAAATTGTCATTAAATGTGGAACTCGAAGACATGCTAAAGAATGGCAAGAGGCACTGAAAGAATCTGCAAACTTCTTAGGTATTATTATTTTAATTCTGTTACACATGATTTAATTCTTATGATATTCATAATAGAACCATGAAAATTAAATTCTAAAAGTTTCATGACTCTGAGTATAGTGAAACAGTGTGAAAAATGAAATTTACATTTGGAGGTGTGTTTTTAGTTGGGGTGTTACAGGGGTTCTGATTTATAAACTATATTTGTGTCAAGAAGATCGATTTGTTATTCAAAATTCTGTTTTACATCCTTATACATTTTTAATTTAATAAGCCACAAGTTGATAAACAACAAGATTTTTTCGTTTCTTTGTTCTTTTGTGGGTCTGTGATAATAATTATAGCGGTTGTAATTTACAAAAATTGATAAGATATTATTTATGTTTTTTATTGTTTCATTGCATAAAAGATAATATAAAGTAAATATTTCTATCACTACATTTGTACATATTTATTATGTACACCAGATATTGTTTATTCCTTTATATAAGTAGTTTGTTCAAATTAATTTAATTTACATAAATTTGTAGATACCCCTTTTTTAATAAGGGAAAGAAATGGAATTGATACTTCTTTGTGTTTTTGTGAATTACAAGAGAAATTGAATTAAATGATTCATTGATTTGAATATCCTTGAAAGAATTTTACATTTTAATGGAATTTTACTGTCGTATTATTAATAAGTAATCCGTAATTGCCTCTTTAATTAAATACTTATTTTAGACATTAAAGTAATTTCAAGAGAAAGTAATTCCAAAAACTGAGTAATGTGAGTTATTTAGTTCTACAACATCGCTAAAATTACAGCTCTTGAAATAATATTATACTAGAATTATGTATTTACTTTACAATATTTTCACTTTTACAATTTTAACGTTTTATTTATCAAAGAAGAGCTTATCACAGTAAAAATAAACACTTTATAGGACTAAAATAAATATTCTGCGCTAATATGTATTTATTTATAAGGACATAACTATGGAACACCCTGTATGTATAGTTTGCTCGGGAATTCCTCCAGAGACCACTGTAGGGTGTGGCTAGGCAACCCATATAACGTCTGAAAAGGCGTGTTGCCTCAATAATTTATTGTCGACCTCGTTTCTATTAAAAAAACTTTACACAAATAAATAAAGTTGCTTTACTGTTTTGAGGTATGCAATGCTTTAATTCGAGTAGATGACTTCATAACATCTTAGCAATTAAATTATATATCGTAATTCCTGTTAGTACTTATTAAAACTTTTATTTTCAGCTCCATGGTGTTTGGTTAGATAGTTAACAATTACCACCTGTTATACTGTATTATAATATTTTTTTATGAAAATTCAAGAATGTTTAATATAAATAATCTGATTAAGCAACCAAAAATTTAAATACATGCGTTTAAATAGTTTAAACAAAGTATATTGAATGAACATATAGGTGTGTGTAAAAAGAGTGATTTATAAGTGAGTATCTGCCCAATCACCCTTCTTACTGATAAGATATTGACAATAGCAGTGTAATTGAATCGTATAAATAATGCATGAAAAATTGTTTTGTTTCAAGACCCTATTTTATTCAGAAAACATACGCTTAACCTCTTATTAATATTTCCTTAATTTTTCTTATTCCAAAAAAATGTCTACATTAAATATTGTTAGGTTTGTTTATTGTTATTTATTAATCTAATATGGCTACATTTTATAATTTTCAGTATGAGTTCCATTGACGATGCAGGTTTTGAAAATGTGGCTCTAGATGATGATAAGACACCAAGAACCCCAAACAGTGATGATGATTTTGATGATGACTTGGGTGTTCCACACTCTCTTATGATTGTGTCTGTAGAAGGAACTCCAATTGTTGTTGAAAGAAAAGATGATAGAGATAACACCAACAAAGGTAATCATTGTTTTTATACTTTGTTATGTTTATTTATTTATATTTTAAGGTGTTATGGTAGGTAAAATAGCTTACAGTGCAATTTACAGACCCACATTAAAATTTAGTTCCTACAACAGAAAGATTTTTATACCTGAAGTTGAAATCAATGCCACAATAGTTGATTATGAAAGGAACCTCACTTCCCACTTTTTAAATCCCAATTTGTAAGTTATTATAATGTGTAACAACTTCAATATTAACACTTGAATTTTTCAGATACACAATAAGTTTTAAACATGGAGATTTTGTTTGGAAAATTAAAAAGAGATACAATCAAATACAGCATCTTCACCAACAGCTTGTCCTGTTCAGGACCTCTTTAAACATCCCTTTCCCTACCAAGACACACAGGGAAAAACGAGAGAGTTTTCGCAATAAAAAGCCTAAGGGGACCTTACCAAGGTACAATAAGAATTATACAGTTATATCAGAAAATAATTGCTAAAAATTCTAATGATATTTGTGTATGCAGATTTCCAAAGAAGCCTGAAGTATTAGTTTCCTATGAAAGAATTGACCAAAGAATCAAGCAACTAGAAGAGTATTTAAATAATTTATTGTCCATTAGCATTTACAGAACTCATCCAGAGACAGTGAGAAAAAATAGCACTGAACAGCAAGCAATGCCATCTAATGACTAAAATTACTTTTTTAGATAGCATTTCTTGAAGTCTCCCACTTGTCATTCATTGATGGCTTAGGCATAAAGGGCAAAGAGGGATTTGTAAAAAAAGGATCTGGTAGCACGAGGGGCTGTTGTAACTGTATGGGTTGCATTAACAGCACATTCTGTATAAGGTATGCAATTATTCAAATGTTTATACCTATTTCTAGTTTACGCAATCCTTTTTTTTTAAGATGTTCTCATAGATGCAACGACTTTTGGTGTACCAGATGGCTAAACAGGTGGTTCTTTGTGAAAGACACTTGTTTCGGTTATATAGACCCAAAAGATGGTCGAATAAAATGCGTTGTTCTATTCGACCAAGGGTTTGAAGTGTCCTTTGGTATGTATGCCACAGGTTTACATACCGGTTTACAACTTGTCACTTTGTCTAGGCAAATTGTCATTAAATGTGGAACTCGAAGACATGCTAAAGAATGGCAAGAGGCACTGAAAGAATCTGCAAACTTCTTAGGTATTATTATTTTAATTCTGTTACACATGATTTAATTCTTATGATATTCATAATAGAACCATGAAAATTAAATTCTAAAAGTTTCATGACTCTGAGTATAGTGAAACAGTGTGAAAAATGAAATTTACATTTGGAGGTGTGTTTTTAGTTGGGGTGTTACAGGGGTTCTGATTTATAAACTATATTTGTGTCAAGAAGATCGATTTGTTATTCAAAATTCTGTTTTACATCCTTATACATTTTTAATTTAATAAGCCACAAGTTGATAAACAACAAGATTTTTTCGTTTCTTTGTTCTTTTGTGGGTCTGTGATAATAATTATAGCGGTTGTAATTTACAAAAATTGATAAGATATTATTTATGTTTTTTATTGTTTCATTGCATAAAAGATAATATAAAGTAAATATTTCTATCACTACATTTGTACATATTTATTATGTACACCAGATATTGTTTATTCCTTTATATAAGTAGTTTGTTCAAATTAATTTAATTTACATAAATTTGTAGATACCCCTTTTTTAATAAGGGAAAGAAATGGAATTGATACTTCTTTGTGTTTTTGTGAATTACAAGAGAAATTGAATTAAATGATTCATTGATTTGAATATCCTTGAAAGAATTTTACATTTTAATGGAATTTTACTGTCGTATTATTAATAAGTAATCCGTAATTGCCTCTTTAATTAAATACTTATTTTAGACATTAAAGTAATTTCAAGAGAAAGTAATTCCAAAAACTGAGTAATGTGAGTTATTTAGTTCTACAACATCGCTAAAATTACAGCTCTTGAAATAATATTATTCATCCAAAAATAATGAAAACAATTTTTACTTTTCATGTTAAATTATGCTTTCAGCAAAAGATTTTACTCAACTTAATCAACACCATTCGTTTGCCCCTATTAGAAACAATATTATAGCCTCATGGTTTGTTGATGGGGCTACTTACATGGAAGCTGTAGCAGACGCCATTGAATCTGCTAAAGAAGAGGTCTTTATAGCAGATTGGTGGCTTAGCCCTGAAATATATTTAAAAAGACCTGCCGTAGACGGCGATTACTGGAGACTCGATAAGCTCCTAAAGCGAAAAGCTGTGAGTTCATTTAAGTATTATTATAATTGTTTTAGTTTTTTTTTTATTCATTAATTTAGAAGCAAGGAGTAAAAATATTCGTTCTTTTATATAAAGAAGTAGAAATGGCGTTGGGATTAAACAGTTATTATAGTAAGCAAAAATTAACAGAAGATTGCGATGACAACATTAAAGTTCTCAGACATCCTGATCACGCAAAAGTGGGAGTCTTTTTGTGGGCTCATCACGAAAAAATTGTGGTAGTAGACCAAACGTTCGCCTTTTTAGGAGGCATCGACTTATGCTACGGTAGATGGGACGACAACCAACACAGGTAAATCTATAACTTCAACAATTGCTATTTTGAAACCTAAATATCTTTAATTAAATTATTTTTCAGACTGACTGCTGAGTGGTGTGTCACACCAACCAACAGTTGACGTATCCACTTTAAGAAAAAAATCTTCTAGTGTTCCTGGGGGTGAACCCATCTATCCTATCCCTGTTCCTTACTACAAAAGAGCCTGTGAATTGCCAGACACCCCAGATGAGGACTATCAAGAATCCAGTTCCTCCTCAGAGGCCACAATTCCACAGCTGGCCCCTGGCGATCACTTGTTGCTTCCCAACATGAATACAAGTACTGTAAAGTGTAACACTCCTGAAATGGAACGAAAAAACGTACTTTCAACCATAAAAAATAAGGGCACGAACCTTATAAAGATGATCTACTCGCCAAATGAAGACTCAGTGGAATGTTCGGGGGTAGAAGGTGGCGATAAAATTGAAGCAAACGGGACTGTAATGCTTCAGGAACCGCAGGAAGATTTGAGGAATTTGGATGGATCAGCAAAGTTCTGGATTGGAAAAGATTATGTCAATTTTATTGTGAAGGATTTTACGAATCTCGACTCTCCTTTTACGGATTTCATAGATCGTGTAACGACTCCTAGAATGCCTTGGCACGACGTAGGAGTTTGCGTACAAAAAGCTGCAGCAAGGGACGTTGCCAGGCATTTTATACAAAGATGGAATGCCACAAAACTAGAAAAAGCCAAATTTAATCCCTCTTACCCTTATCTTTTACCAAAGAGTTACGATTTTAAGACTAATATACCAGAAATTCTGACCCATAATACTCATACTGTTACATGTCAGGTACAGAAATTCTTTTTGCTACTTTATTGTCCTTGCTTACATTGCTTTCATGTAGGTCCTTCGAAGTTGCAGTACATGGTCTATAGGATTTTTAGAACCAGACACAGTCGAACAAAGCATCCATGAAGCTTACATTGACATCATAACACGTTCACAACATTACATTTATATAGAAAATCAATTTTTTATTACCTTGCCTTACTCGAACCCAAACACAAGAAATCAGATTGCTGAGGCACTCTTCAAGAGGATCTTAAGGGCTCATAAGTAAGTTTTTTAAACTTTGTTTATGATTAAGTTATATTTTCTTTTGCCACAGAGAAAAGGCAGTCTTCAGGGTGTACGTGGTAATGCCTCTCTTGCCAGCATTTGAAGGTGAAATTGGTGATGCAACAGGAACTTCTTTACACACTATTACTCATTGGAATTATTTGTCTATTTGCAGGTAAGAAAAATACATTTCTTGTACATATGTCAAAATTATAATTGATTAGTATTTAGCATTGAAAAGTGATTTATTTTATTATTTTCTTAATTGTCTCTTAATTAAAGGGGTAAAGATTCGTTGCTGAATAGACTAAAAGAGGCAGGAGTATCAGATCCTTCACAATACATTAATTTTTATGGTCTCAGAACTCATTCCAAGTTAAATGGCGAACCTATTACAGAACTTGTTTATGTACATTCAAAATTGATGATTGTCGATGATAAGATGGTTATTTGCGGTTCTGCCAATATTAATGACCGATCATTGATAGGAAAGCGTGACTCAGAAATTGCAGTTTTGATAGAGGTAAATCTGATTAGTAATTGCATTCGTCAGGTGCTTTTCCCACTTATTTATCCTTGGTTTAATTGAATCTTTCAGATGCTTAAACAAATTGAATAAATTAAAATTTAGGAAGGGACACAGGTCGATAATTAGGCTGTTGACTTAATTAATTTATTCTGTTTGTATATTACGAATTTTTAAGTTTTAAACATTTTAAGTTTTCCTTAACGTCCCTGCTGAAAGATTTAATAATTAATTTATTTTAACTTCTTAAATCGCCATATTAATTATTTAGGCCTTTCATAGAAACAGGTATTTAGATATTTTAACAAATTCAGAATTTTTAAGCTTCAAACATTCGTAATTTTGTTTTCCCCTTGCTCATAATCTTATATTATAATTAATTATCTAGTCAAAGTAAGATCTTACAATTTGGCGTAGAATGTGTTGCCTATACGTGCGTATCATAATTAAGAAGTTAAATTCATTTAGTAATTATAAAGTAATATTTCTTTGAGAATTTGATTTACTTTTCCCATATTAAAACTAATTTACTTTTAATAGTTTAGTACTTGAAAACAGAGTGATAAAAATATCAATAAATGTTTATTTTTTGTAAAAAAAGGACGAAACATTCGACGAGGGTGCAATGAATGGAGAGTGTTTCCCAAGTGGAAAATTTGCCGGAGGCTTGAGGAGACAATTATTCAAAGAACATTTAGGTTTACTTGGCAAAGAAAATGAATGCATAGATATCGACATAACGGATCCCATTAGCGAACAGTTCTACAAAAATGTCTGGTATGAAAAGGCTAAATTAAACACATCCTTTTACGAAAAAGTCTTCCACTGTATACCCAGCGATAGGGTTGAAAATTTTGCATCCCTTAAAGAAATCCAACAGGAACTGCCCCTCTACTCTTCCGAAGTGTCGAGAGCTGAAAAGATGCTGGAAAGTATCGAGGTAAGTGATTACCTTTTTTGGTCTTAACTTAAGCTAAGGTATGTATTTGTAGGGTAATTTGGTACTTCTCCCTCTCAATTTCTTAAGTAAAGAGGTGCTAACTCCAGCTCCTGGTAGTTTTGAGGGTATGATGCCAACAAGTCTGTGGACTTAACAAAATAGAGGCCTATTTTTTGATATTGTACTTTTTAATATCACAAAATATTTTTATGCGTACTTTTGCTAGTTTTAAAAAAAAGTGCAATTTGTTGTTTCTGTGTGTATATTAATGTAGCCAATGCGATATTATTAGTTGCACATATTTTTTTTACATGGAAAGTAATTTTAAGTTATTTTAAACGACGACTTAATATTTATTGTACAGTATTAGAATTTGCTAAAGATTTTTCCCGTCCTTATTTCGTAAAATACACAATTCCATGTAACAAACACGAATATGAAACAAAAGCATTTCATTGTTATCAGTATTGGTAATTATGCAGATGATGAGACTAAAGGTTGAAGGAGGGGAAATTAGTGAAGGGGGTGGATATGTCCTTGAAGAAACACTAAAAGTGTTCGGCGAAGGAGTTGGAGGGATGTCAACGTCACTACCTTCAAATGTGTTTTTTAGTGTTTTTCAAGGTCATCCCCACCCCTTCGCTCATTTACCCCCCCCCCNTCGCTCATTTACCCCCCCCCCTACGGCCGTAAGCTACCATCTGAAATATAGACAATTATTTTAGCTTTATAAGTATACAATTTTTTTTATTTTATCCAAGTGAACGTAAAATACTCATTCGAGTACTGCAAGATTATTTTTGTAATCTTATTGGGTTAAGATGGTATAGTAGATTTTACTGTCACATTCTTTTTTTTATTTACTTATATTATTATGTTATACATATTTTTCACCACTCATTCCTTCACCATTCCGTTTCTAAAAAAACTGGTCTTTAAGGTACTTATTTATTATATTAATTACAACTTTACAACCTCCTTTGGTCCCTTATGTTAAGCTTGTGCCTTCAATTTTTTAAAAAGTTAGTCACTGTGCCTACAGCTAATATGGCTTTTTAGATAAATTAATTTATTTTTTATTTATTGATAAAATCAAATATTCGATATTTGTATGATATTGCTTATTAACAACTTTTTGTAAATGCTGTCGATTAATAAATTTTTCGCCTTTTTTTTAAATTTTTTTTTATTCGTTTTGTCAATTGCTTCGATCGAAACGAGTGCTGAGGGAGACAATAATTTAAAAATTGCGCGTTTAATATTTAGTGACGTAATCTTGCACTTGTTTTACTCTTGTTACTTGTATTATGAATGAACCCAAAAAAAATGTATTCGATCACGTAGGTGTGTAAAGGACCCAGTAATCTAGTTCAATTTGGGCCAAGAAGTCAAGTTTTCGTGTCACATGACAAAATTTTTATTTGTTTACATTAACTGTAAATGAAATGAAATTAATAACAGAACAACAAAAAAAAAGAATCAGTTCATTGTATTCAACGGCGTGTACACGCAGATGTCATTACCCGCGAGTAGGTAAGTAAATTATGTAATTGTAAAGCGGCCAATGAACGTCGTATGCATTAGTGTTGGTGGGGGTGAGTGACGTCACGTGTGAAAATGCCTCTCCTCATCCCTCCTGGCAGCGCGCGCCGTACACTGTCGGACAGGAACGAGGCAGTGCGTTCAAAATGGCAGACGGTTTGTGTACGGGCGAAACAGTTGGAAATTTAATCGAAAAAACATTAGTTAAAAATTATGATAAGGTTATCGAAAGCATCGATAATGACTGTGTGAATGATGTTAGGTGTGAGAAAGTGAATTCCTTCTATATTTCAAGTGACAGTGATAAATTATTTGATAAGTTGTGTGGTGTAAAGGGCTCAAAGCATGAAGGATTCTTGCAGATGGACGAAGACTGCCGAAAAAAAAGATGTGCCGACAGATACGACAGTTCCGAATCTTCAGACAGGTAGGAATGTTTAATAAAATTGAAACTTGTCTTCTTCCAATGTAGCCGCACGAAAATCTACCTGGATTAGCTAATGAACCGAGGCTTGTCTAATTACGTGCACTTGCAACTTACGACTCGATTGGTTGTTTACGATGCAGAATTGCAGACAAACAGTCGTTATTTTGGCAAACACGGTCATTGTCATGTCCTTTACCTTCACCAATAGTGCAAATCGAAACAGAGAGTGTACCCGTTTTTTAAATGAATGCTTTCGTGATTGCCACACACTTGCTTCGGAGTCAACGACTTCTACGATATAATACAGCCAGAGCCAGCCTCTCTCGTGCCATGGCTAGTGTGGCGACGATGTCTAATTTTGAATGCAGTTTTTTTATTGTTATTTTTATTCGACACCATTTTTCATTCCATTTTTTGCCAGTCTACAGGTTAAATAATTATGTATCACGACGGTGACGTTCGTCTACTTGATAAACTCACAATTAGACCTAATTTTAAACAAAAGGTTACTAAGATGACATAGTTACACCTTCAAGCTACTCATTTAAAACTACATATGTTGATAATTGTGCTAAAACTTTATGTCAATAAAAATTTCACCTTGATATTGATAAACTACCTACCTACTTAATAGTCATGTGTTTAATTTAAAATCTCCTGTTTTTTTTTGTTCTTTTTGATAGCTACCTTACTGTTAATTCATTCTCGAAAATTAATCAATTAATTTTAATTTACAATGCACTTTAAGCACATATACGTGTATTTTATATTGGTATGCTGTAAGAACAGGTACGTATCTCCTGTTGCCATAGAAACCTAAGTATATAGCGATATACAAATGTTATATACCTACTTATTGTACATTACATATGCTGCGTGTTTATATAAACTGAGTTACATAGGTACGTACCTATCTCATGAAATATCATCAGAAATGCTTCACATTTTACGAATAGATGTTGACAGTATTATATTCGTCGTTAGGCATTATCCAACAGTTATCAGTGGCGTAGATACTGTGGGGTGTTAGAGGGTTCAAGCCCCCGCATCGAATAAGAGGTTTTTTCAATTATGTTGCCGTCTGAGGATGCTGTCAAGTACGGTCAGCGCAGCAGATAGAAACAACACTTTGAAACTCAGTACTGGTTATTATTAAATATTAAGGGTGTTTGGGAGGTATGTCATAATGCTACGAGGCAAATAAAAATTAGGAAGAACGTTCCTCATTCAATTCTAAAACTCCTGTAAAAATTGCAAATCGATTCACTAAACCGTTAAAAAGTTATTGGAATTTTAAAAAATTGTAATTTTACACGTCATTTTATGGAGATTCGTTAACCGAACAGATTAAATTTATTTTTATTAACAGAAAAAAGCTACCAGAAATTTCAAACTTTTATAATAAGTAACTTGAACTCTGGAGAATCACTTTAGCGTAAGGTTATTCAT